CCTACTGTCTTAGATCCAGTTTCAAAAGTTCTTAACATTCTAATTATTGTAAGTTTTGATTAACTTTATTGTTAGTTGTTGCAATGTAAGAACCATTCAATTCAATTGAAACTTGGCTCTAGGTTTTCAGAAAATTTCAAAATTTTCTTGAAATTTTTTGTTCTTTTGTTACAATTCTGTAAACAATTATTTTCATCCAAAAGTTTTTAAACTTGCTAAAATCAAAGAAAATAAAAGAACAAAGGGCGCGTAATTGTTGCGGTATCCGCTTACTTTTCCCAAAAAGCATAGTTTGGCCTCCGAATGTTATAATGGTTATCCACAGCAAAAATATGTTCATTAGATTCAATATTGATGTTAAATTCAAGTGGCGAAAATCGGATAACCAAAAAGCAAAGTAACTAAATTCAGTTAAAAATGATCATTGAACAAAAGAAAAATAACGCTGACATAAAGGAGCTATTGATTAAAGTCAATTATAATTATGATTAATTAGAATGGGTATATTTGATATGAAAAATTTTCAAATTAATAATAAAACATAGCGCTGACAAACTTTTTAAAGAATTGTGACCATAAGTTGAAAAATTCATTACAATCAACAATTAATTACAATGAATTAGATTTCATTCAACATAGCTGAAAATTAATCTTAATTTTATTTAGTATTAAATATAATCAATTTGAATTCATTTTAATTGTTTTAATTAGCTAATAATTTTGTTGTCAGCGTTACTTTTCATTTGCTATATAATCTTTTGAATTTAAGCTGATTTCTTTTTTCACTCGATTTTTAATATCATCGATTTGAAGCAATAAAAAATGAACTTTTTTGGGTTTGAAAAATAGTGATTATTTAGAGTTTAATAGAAACTCTCTACGAGTTAACAAATTTAAAAGAAAGAAAGGTCAGATATTCGATGCGCACCATGAGCCGTGCTCGTTGCTTGAAGGTGTGGTAGCCTTACCCAGCCCAGAAAAACGATCAAAAACAATAGTAAGTAGTAAAATTTTGGGCTGCAACAAACAATAGTAACATTTTAAGCTGCATAGTTAAAAAAAAACGACAAGTGTTTTTAGTCTAAAGAAAAACGAGTTCTTAAACTAGAACTTACATTTAACCAGTGCGTCCACAAATGCACCACTAAACGCGGGCATTCATGATAATAATAACTTGGCATCCTACTGTACTGTTCTTGTGAACTACCAGAGAAAAAAGATCAAATTATAATCCCCCCAAGCTGTTGAGAGGGGAGGATGTTTACTTGATCTTTTTTCTATGATGTGTTCTAGGAGTGTATTGGTGAGATAACAGCATGCGAAAAGCTCCGCTGACCACTTGATGCTACATTTGTAGACTTAAAAAATCGTTTTTAGCCAAAAAAAATCAATTGCACGTATATGAAAACTTTTATCAAGTATTTCACTATATATTCTGTTATG